AGGGTTCAACTTGTTGAGGCAGTTTGCTCTTGAATCAGAGCAACCCTCAAGAGGAATCACTCCTGCCACGTTCAGCCAGTAGTCTGCAAGGGGACCAGTGGCCCTGGAATAGAGGGGAGAGAAGGGTGGAGTAAGTGAGGTCAAGGACACAGTTATGGGAGGGGTAGGTTGAACACTTAACCCTGATACCCCTTCTAAACAAAGTGCCAAACTTCCTTTTGGAAGTTCTTCATCATCAAAGAAAGTCTTCTTGTGACAAGATGCAAAAAATGTGTGAGTTTGGAGTGCAACAGACTTGGGTCACACTTGTGTGACTCTGGGCAGGTTGTTCAACCTCCTTTTCATCTGTTGGGTGGGAACAAGGCCTTGTATAGTTCCTGGGAGTTTCACAGTTAATGTAGGTAAAGTGCCAAGGACCGCACCCAAATCAGAGCTCGCTGAAGGGAGCTGACAGGGAACAGAATTCAGTCATCCCTGGCAGCTCAGATGGTAAAGAATCTGCCTGCAATGCAGGAGACCCAGGTTTGATCCCTGGGTCGGGAAGATCCCCTGGAGGAGGAAATGGCAACCCACTCCAGTACTCTTGCCTGGAGAATAGCCATGGTCAGGGGAGCCTGGTGGGCTACAGTCCACAGGGTCACAAAAGAGTCGGACATGACTTAGTGACTAAACCACCACCACAACAGGGCAGTGAGAACTGGCTCTGGGCCTCCAGTGGCCACCTCCTTGTCCACATTATCAAACTCGGTCAGTAATTCAGATGATCTGGCTTGTCTGTCACCCTGATAGCTTGGCTCTAAATGAAACGAGATTCAAGTTATGCCCTGGGAGCTTTCATATGCCTTGTGCCATCTTCAATCAAAAATGTTGCTCCAATCTTACATTACAGTTAAGTGGTGACTTTAGAATTAGTGGTATTTTCATGAAGTATAAAACTAGTTATTAGTGACTTGACTGGGGGCACTTGTTGCTGACAATTATAAGCTGAAGTGACATGATTGCAAGTGTCGATGTTAAAGAGTGAACTGTGCCTCTAGCCCTGCCCTTTCTTTAACTGTCATCCAGTGATGGGCAGGTGGTGAGACGGAAATACTCTTATCATCCAAGTTCAAGCCTGCTTACTTCCTGCTTAGAATTCTGCAGTGGCCTCTTGTTTCTTCTTCTTTGCCCTCTCTGACTCCTCCTGAATGGGGTCAAAGAGTGGACATGGTGTTGCTCAAGAGCAGTATCCCGATCACATCTTTTCTTAGCTTTATAGTCACATTGTACCTCATTGCAATGCGGAATCACCCCAAGGCCGCTCTCTGGAGAGGGAAATCCTCTTCTCTTCAGTCCTGTTTCAAGTCCTCAGTTCCATCTGTTCCAACATTTAAAATATTGTCCCAGGTATTTAAAATATCCTGACTCTCCTTAGAGATATGGCTAATTCTAGAACTAGGACAGGAAATATACACGATGAGGCAGGATCATAACATAGGGCCAGGAAGAAAGGAAGTGTTTTCAAAAAGAAGGCAAATCAACTAGAAAAGCTCATAACGGCCAAATCTGGACCATTTTGATCAACAAAATAAATAGCATAGTATTGGATTATAACCCAAAGGATAAATGAATAACAATGAGCCATGAACCCATACTGATATGATTAATTCATCAATCATTAAATATAAATAATTTGCTGATATAAATAATAATTAAGTGGGAGAGAACTGACCTATGAATATAGGTTGTATTATATATATTGTAGAAGAATTTCCAAAAATTGTAATGGATACTGCAACCCCACAGAGATGGAGACAGAACATAAATAACTCTCCATTCTCCAAGGATGGGCTGTAGTCAGTGACAGCCTTCCAAAGAGGACACCATAGAGAGTGGAGGAGGAGTGTAAATTTATGGTAGAGAAATCTGACAAGTACTGGATCAACCACGTGATCAAGGTCAACATCAAGAGTAACAAGTCATGCTGATTATACGAACTCTTGATTTGATGTCATGAGAATGGTACTGTACCTCCATGATCCTCCTCCAAAAACACATAACAGTTTAATCATGAGAAAACCATCAGATAAATCTCATTTGAGGGATATTTTATAAAAAAACAAAGCAAAACAAAAAAAACACTGCTCAAATTACTCTCCAGGTTCTCAAAAAGGAAAGAATGTCTGAGAAACTGTCATAACCAATAGGAACCTAAAGAGATAAGATAACTAAAATTAATGTGGGATCCTGGAAGTGTCTTGGCATAGAAAAAGACATTAGGCAAAACCTAAGAAAATCTGAATAAAGCCTAGACTTTAGCTAATAACACTGTATCAATATTTGTTCATTAATTGTAACAAGCATAGTATACTAATATGTGATGTTAATATTAAGGGCCTAAAACTAGGAAATGTGTAGTTAGAGTGTGGGATATGTGGGAACTCACTATACTGTCTTCATAAATTTTCTGTCCTATGTCATCCTATGATTAAACATTTGTTTTAAAATCGTGTCCCAACCTCTCACACTAGCAAAATGTTTCCCTTCCATCGTCCCCTGTTGAAGCCCTACCTTTCAACTCAACTTCAGTAGCCTTTCTAATTTCTTAAAAAGGAATGGGTGTCCCTTTTCATCTATGTCCAAAGAACTCGATACTTATTGTGTTGATTTTCATTCATTTACTTATTCTTTCATTCATTCAACCAATAGTTATGGATTACAAACACCAGTTATTAACTGTAGTGCTGTGGCAAGACAAGCGACAACCTTGACTCTGACCAAGCTTACAGTTTTGTGGTTACAGTCGTGCAAGCAAATGTGTACAGTTCTAAGAGACTGAAAGATGGTGGAGATTAGGGACTGTCTCTAAGGATCTGACCTTGGTAATCAGTCTATGCATTTGACGTGTGAGTGGTGGATGGAGGAATGGGAAGATGGGAGAGAGTGTTCTGGGAGAAAACCTATTTGCTATGTTCCTGAGGCAGAAAGGAGGGCAACATCCCCAAAGAAATATAACATCAGTGTGACTGGATAGTCCTACCGTAAGCACCATATATGAACTCAGCTATGTGTCAAGCTCAGGGCTAACATGTGTTACCTTGGTTCATTCTTACATAACTCTGTGACGCAAGGTTGTTTTCATTTGTACTTTACAGATATTTGTACTTTATAGATAACGAAACTTGAGGGACTTCAACAGTGACAGAGCTGAGATTGAGGCTAAAACAGGTTTGTTGGAAAGCCCAAACTCTTTCATCCTATGGACACAATTCATCCGCTTAAGTCGGAGATTTTCTGTTTGGTTGTTTTGGGCTGTTCATTACTCTGTGGGCTTTTTCTACCGGTGGTGAGCAGGAGCTAGTCCTCGTTGCAGGGTGCGGGCTCCTCACTGTGACTCCTCCCTTGTTGCGGAGCGCCAACTCTGAGCACGTGGGCTTCCGGAGCTGTGTGTGCCTGTGAGCAGGTGCAGCTTGTGCGCGCTAGAGCGCAGGCTCAGGATTGGTAGTTTTGGTGCTTCACCTTAGTTGCTCTGTGACATGTGGGATCTTCCAGGACCACAGATGGAACCCATGATACCTGCATTGGCAGGCAGATTCTTAACAACTGGACCACCAGGGAAGTGCAGTCAGAGATTCTTGTGATTGTTCCCTTCATATTATTCCAGGGTTTCTTGGCACTATTGACGTTTAGGTCAGATAATTCTTTGTTGTGGGGTCTGTTCTGTGTACTGTGGGATGTTTAGGGGTATCCCTGGCTTCTATCCACTGGAAGCCATTAGCCCTCACCTGTAATGACAATGAAAAGTGTCTTCAGACTTTGCCACATTTCATTGACAGCGAGGGCGAATAGCAAAATAATCCCATCCCCCAACGGCACTGCAAGCCCCCGAGTTGCACTGTTTCAGATTGGGATGGAGTTGTGTTTAAATTCTTCCCTTCCTCCTGTCTTCCCTCCCTCTGTTCCTTTGTTTCAGTGTTTCTTAAGTGCCCAGCATGTGCAGATACACATCCTGTAGAGTTTAGAACACAGTAACCTGTAGACAGTGGTTGCCTAACAAATGCTTGAGGAATTACTGCCAACTGAGTCCTAAATGCCTAAATGCCTAAGTGTTATGGACAAATGAAAAACATTCTTCCTGAATGCAAAACTTGACGTTGGTGAAATAAATCCCAGGTTTATGATCACTTGGAGTACCTCGTATGTCCCTGGAGAATTGGCTTAGCTGGTATCCATCGGGCTGAAAAGACCCACTTGAATTTCACTGGCCTTTAGACAGACCCAGCAGAGCACCTGTTAAGAACCTAGCAGAGAGTGGCATACATTAGGTTGCCAGTAAATGCTGATGAGAGCATGGCTGATCTGTAATAATTAAGTGAAGCCATATGCCTTGGTCTGTAATTTGAGATTCCATTTGAAGCACATACTGATTTTCTTTTTCTATCACTTTTGGGTGAGATCTGGATCGGGGAAATGACTCTTCAACTAGATTTTCTATTCAACTCCCTTGAGAGTGAGTGGGTGCTAGGAGGGAAAGCTCATTTCAGGGCAGTTTTCTTTCCACTTCAGGTTCTATATCACTGGAGTGTCAGTTTCTGGTCATTAATCAGAGCTCAGAGAATTCTAAACACAAAGATAATGCAGGAGTGAGCTCTCCAAATGCATTTAAATCTTGTAGCATCTTTATTGTGTGTTATCTTCGGGCATTCACTGTTCCACTGCCTCTCCATACATACAGCCCAGAAGAGTTGTCTCTTGAGGGCTCTTGGTTGTTGCTCTTTGTTGTGTTTAAAATGTGCCCTGATGCCTGTCTTCTACCAGATGACATGACACATCCCTTGTATGCAGTCTTGTACACATGTATAGATACATGTTGTAGAAGAGAATCCCATAGTAACTTCACTTTATGGAAACCCTTCCCTTTATGTTTTTCACTCTCCCAACCCTTCCGTTCACACATGCACATACCTGAATGGCCACTGAATGATCTCTAATCAGCATCCCGCTTCTTTCTCTCTCGCCAGAAGGAGGAACATGTGAAGTGATTGCTGCGCACAGATGTTGTAATAAAAACCGCATTGAGGAGCGGTCGCAAACAGTCAAGTGTTCCTGTCTACCTGGGAAAGTGGCTGGAACGACAAGAAACCGACCTTCCTGTGTCGATGGTAAGTAGCTGTTTTCACTCCTCTCCCTATGGGTTCATCTGTGTCGTTGTGGTGTATAATATATATATTTTATTTCATCTAAATATGGTTCAGGATAATAAATAAGGTGCCTCTGCAGTTCTGCAGAGTTAGACAAATACCAGCCCTTTGCATAGAGTTTGAATTCTTGTTTCTCTGGCTTTAGGTTTTTCAAATAGCTGTATTTCAAATGTGTGTTAGAGAAGATAAGGTGAAGGAATTTCTTCAAGTATATGAGTTTGAGGGTCCAGATCATTTTGAAATTGATTTTGAATCGAGTTTATGTATAATGATGATGATAAATGTAGTAAAGATAGTAATATCTGACAGTCATTCAATCTGTATTTAATGAGCATTTACTATATCCCAGGCACTGATCTAGGGCTTCATATATATTCAGGAACAGATAGATGTGCCCTGAGAGTTCACCATTTGCCATGCCCTGTCCTAAACATTTCTCATGCATTATTTTATTTACTCATCCTAACAATACCATCTTTCTTATCTCTTGCTATGTAACAATTTACATGCCCCCCGAAGTTAGCAGCTTTAAGTGGCAAACACCATCTCACAATTTCCATAGGTCAGGAATTCAGCTTGGCTGGGTGGTCCTGGCTTGGGGTCCCTTCCGTGGTTGCAGTCAAGATCTGAGGACTTAACTGATGCTGGAGGATGGTTTTAAGACGGCTCTTCACAGAGCTGTGAGCAGGTGGCCTCTTTTCCCTTCCGAAGGAAGCTAGGTGTCCTGTGTCCTCACACCATAGTGGCTGGCTTCCTGCAGAGTGAGTGACCCAAGAGAACAATGTAAAAGCCACAATGTGACTATGATAGAGCCTCAGAAGTTATCCTTTATTCTTTCCACAATATCCTATGGGTTATATGAGTCAATCCTATCTGTCCAGCATGGAAGTGAACGAAAAAGGCTTGAAAACCTGAAGGCAAGGACCACCAGGGTAGATACACTTTCCCTACCTTTTTAAACATGAAGGAAACTGAGACTTAGAACAGTTCATTAATGTTCCATTGGTCCCATGATTGGTAAGTTGTAGCTCTGCTAACTCTTGAGATGAAACTAACTGACTGTAATACCAAGTCTTGACCACCATCTGTAAACAATGTTATATGCCTGTCAAACAGAGAGTCCACAGTTCAAAGGGATAATAGATATCTCTCCCCATCTTTATCTTTCATCATTTTAGAGCCAGATGTGAGTTGACCTTCAAAATCTTCAGTAAGGAAATCAGGACTCAGAAAAGTGACTCACTTGCTCTGGTCATAGAGCAGGAATTTTAAGCTAAACCTCTTGACTTAGGGTCCATGGTCCTCTAGATATAGATGGAGAAAGATACCTTCTAGATTGGCTCATGTTGTGTTTTTTCATTGTGAATCATTAGGTGGTTAGAAAGGAAACACTCACACATAAACTAGACCAAGAAAGGCAAAAGTTATTTTTTAAGAAAAGAGAGAAGTCCTGGGGAACTTGGTTATAGGAAATTCAGCCAAATGTCATGGGATTCATAAGCTATTTAGGCAGCCTCCATCTTATTTTCTTTGTTTTGATCTTTCTTTCCCTCATTCTCTTCTGTGTAGACTGGTTCCTTCAAGGATTTTATCTTTTGCTCTCCCATAACTTAGGGTTTGGTATAAAGCTTTTAATTTCTGTGGGACCAACTCTGATCTCACTTAGCATCATGGCATACAACAAGTATATTTGACTCACTTCCTGTATCTTAAATGCCATCTCCAAAAAGACTAAATATGATTGACCTGGCTTGGGTCACATGTTATTCTTTGCCCAATCAGCCACAGCCAGAGGGACAAGCTCTTGGGGCATTCTGTACCACGGGAAGGTCAAGCTTTTTTTTTTTTTTTTTTTTTAGAAGATGTGAAAAGGTTAGATTTAGGAATGCACAGTGATCTGTAGTTCTCAATTAGGGCAATTCTCAGGAGCCATTTGACAATGTCTGGAGACAATTTTGGTGCAGATATCTGTCACAACCAGAAGAGTGCTACCAGCATCTGGTGTGTACAAGCCAGGAAGCTGCTCACCAACTTACCATGCTCAGGACAGCTCCCACAGCAAAGGATTATCATGCCACCAGTGTTGGCGTGGCTGTGGTTGAGAGACTTGCACTATGACTTTTTAGTTATTCTAGATCACAGTCAGTACTATAAGGCACCTCCACTGCAGGGAAAGCAGGCAGCTAGACCAGAAAAGCCATTGCATCCTCTTAGAGGAGGAAACTCTTGGCCCCTGAAGCCAATAAACATTATAAAACCATGATTTCTCGTCTTCTCTGCCAAAGAAAGCAGTGAGTCTCTTAACTATAAATCTCCATTTTGTTTCCAGTTCCTTTTTTTTATCACGAATTACCTAGAAATAGAATTGCCTTCTGGATCTGAATGGAGAACTCAGGGACCAGTGCACTGTCTGTGCTGACACAGGGGGAACTGGCATTTGGCTCTAAGTTTCTCTGAGAAGTTAAGCCACATATTGGTAACTTCTATTTCTCAGAACAAGTCTGTCTGACTTTGGAAACTTGGAGCCCTTTAGTGTAGTAGGTTTAGGCAGGAGAGCTGTTGGTGTCTATCTTCTGAGCAAAAGTCAATGAAGTACAGCATATTCTATAGCCTCAGACTCATTGTTTCTAATTTCCAAAGCATCCTACTCCTCAAAAATCTTGGAATGCATTGGCCTGTGTGGTAAAAAGTGTCTGTGTTACTTTGATCAAAACTCTTTTAAGGCCTGTATCTCTACATGCAAATTGAATAGGAAGTGGGTATATAAAGGAACAATTCCAGTGTAGTTATTAAGACCATAAACTATGAAATTAGACACGAGTGGAATCCCAGCTGTACCAGTTGCTAATGGGATGATCTTGGGCCAGTCATGTTGCTTCCTAACCTGTTTCCTCATCTGTCAATGGGAATAATGATTGTTTCTGCTTCATGAGGTTGTGGTGAGAACTAAGGAAATCATATGTATAACATGTTTTGTCTAATGTCTGGTTCTCCTCAAGTACTCCTTAAATAATGGTATCAGTTTTCTGTCTTACTGACAAGTGTGGGTAATGCTTAGAAACATTATTTTCTGAAGTTTCATTTCATAGTAATTCAATACAATGGCATTTTAGCCACTATATCTGCTTCTAAGTGTTTATACTGGATATCACTAATGATGGTCTGTCTTCTTCTGAAATGTATATTCATTATAAGAATTTTGAAAACTACAGTACATCCATATATTAAAATCACCCATAATATTATTGCTTTGTAAGAAGATAAGTATACCTTCTTTGAGGTTGAATCCATTAAAAGAAACTCACAAAGTAGATATTTTATTGAACTAAAATGTTATAGTACTATTTGATTGACAGCTTGTTTCTATTAATATATTGAGTTAGCCAAAATAGTCATTTGGGTTTTTCCATAAGAAAATGAACATTTTGGCCAACTCAATATGATGAACATTTTCCAACTTAAAACATACTCTTAAAAAAACATTTTTGTTAATAGCTACACAGAATTTCAGGGTAGGATGTACCACCATTTATCTAACTATCTTCCGCTTTGGCATATTTATGATGTTTCATGCATTTCCCTTCTCATCCTGCAAATGGATAGAAACGAGTTTCTCTCCATGACAACAGTTGACAATCCAGATACCACATTTGTCCTAAACATATTTTGTTCTACATAGTGCATTTCCCAGGGTAAGTGTTCCATTTGCTGTTATTTGCTTTCCTCTGAAATTGCAGGTCAGTTGCCTTTTTTGCAGTGTTTCCAAAAACAGAGGCACAGCTTGATTTTTCAAAATGCTTATATTGGATTGTTTGAAGATTCACAATCTGAGATCAGATTATTTTAAATGGGGCATACATTTAGCAGTATAACCTTAGCAACTCATTGAAAAGTATAATGCATGATATTTGGAGAGATATTTAAGGAGTGGACTTTTAGTTTAAAAGTGATATTCTGTTGACTAATAATACCAAAATACCAAAAATACACATTCAACAACCTAAATTTTCATAGTCTTCTGCAAATATTTTAGAAAGCATTACACAATTGGATGTGTGCCTAGTACTATTCTGAGAGAATATAGTTTGTTACACTAGAATTCACATCATGTTGTGTTTTTGTTAATTATTCTATAACTCAAAGTAAATGGAGTGGACCCCTTGTTCAAGATCTTTGCTTGAGATCAACTAAAAATGTAGACTCCATAATCTCCAATTACTTTCCAGAGACTAAATTTAGGATACAATAAATAAGATGATGATGGAAGAAGCATAATTATTTATTTAAGAGAAGAATTTTTCCAAGCAGGTGATGTAAAACAAACAAAAAAATAATTTCTAGGAGGCCTGTGAAGTTGTATCTTATTATTCTAATTGATCTATAGTGGCATTAAAAGAGTATGAAATTTTTAAAAATAATTGACTATAAATAGTAAGAAAAATGGTAACAATAATAAAAAGAGTGGCTAACATTTTCTTGAAGGCTTACCATGTACCACTTTTCCAAGTCCTTCAAATCTGTTTATTCAGTTCTAATCCCAGCCCCATAAGGTGTAACATTCGATTATTTTGGTTTTACTCACCAGGAAATTGAGGCTCAGAGACTAAGTGACTTGCTCAAAATCTTACAGCCACAGTGGCAGAGCCAGAAGATCCACCTGGGCTATCTGACTCCAAGGGCCCCGTTTAGCAAGCATAGGCAAACCACTATCTAACAAACACATGTTCTATTCCAAAGGCTTTCTTGCAGAATGCCAAAACATTTGAGTGAGAAGAGACAGAAAGTCCAACTATGACGGATACTTACAGAAACACTGAGAACTTTGGGCAGTACTTTCCCCTTCCCTTTCTGTGTCTTCGAGCTGGTTGATTGATTATCCTTCCTGAGGTCATTGTCATGGAACAGTTAGAAGCATTTGTGTAAATAACGGCTTCAGTTTTGTAGAATGATTGAAGTGTCGT